ATAGGTTTAATGATGTAGGACAAAGTATTTTAGGCAGCTTTGAATTAGATATGAATTCAAAAGGAGAAATAGTTTATTTTACACCAGATTTCTTACTATCAACCTCGACCTTTCATAAAAAGATAAAAGTAGGAATAAAAAGCAGGGGATACAAAATGAAAAAAGGAGAAAAGAATATATTAGTTTGCACAGGATTTTCAGGCTTAGCAGTCTCAGAAAGTAATACTCATTATAGACTTACAAATGATCAGATAGTTAAGTTATTAGGCGCAAAAGGAATAAAGGCACTACCAGCTAAAAAATTTAATTCCGAAGATAATGCAGCACTAGATTGGAATTTAGGAGATTTCCTAGGACAAAAAAGGTTAGCCCCTCAAGATAATTTATTATACCAAAGAGCAGATGGAAATTATGCAGTAAGATTCACTCAATATACGTATGTAGCACCAGAAAAATCTGAAGATGATGAATTTAGTAGTATAGATAGGGAAGAAAATCAAGATAATCGTAGTGAAATAAATTAGCTTTATGTAATGACAGAAGAAAAAACAATATCACAAAATAAGATATATAATATTGATGAGATAAATTTAGAAAATTTCACCCTAACCGATATGAACAAAATATTAGATACTAGATATTATGAATACTTAGCTAGAGGAGACACCCATGATGAAGCAATATCATTTTTAGACCAAGAATTTCATACTGAATATGTAGATGATATCATAGAAGATAAAATACATCCTAGCAAAATATTTAAAATAGCAAAACAATCCAACTTAGAAAATACTTTTTACATGAACACAGAAAGCTCAAGAACTAATAACCCACAACCAACTGTAGAAGATCCCGTAGAACCAATACAATATGCAGTAGGAGGAAGAAAGCCATTAGCAAGTTCAGGACGTAGTAATGCAGACCCGAATAAAAGTTATAGATTTCATGGAAAGCGTAAACAACCAGATATGAGTATACAATTACAGCCAGCTAATAACCAAGGAACCCTTTTAGACTTAGCTAGATTCGACCCTCAGATATGGCAAGAAGTAATAGAAAGATGGGAAAAAGATGCGGTAAAGGCATGGATAAGTAATCCCTATGAAACAACTGATATGTGGGAATATATGGAGACACTTTTAGGAGATTCGACTTTTAATATATATTTAACATTTAAAGGAAAATATGAAGAGATAATTAGACAACTTAAAGGACTAGGAGATAACCCTTTGGAATTTCACTAGCTTTATAAAAGAAATACTTATAGGATATGACCCTTCCAGACGAAATACTTACACCCAAAGCATAGCATTAATTGAATTAGATCAGATGACATTAGGAAGTTGCAAACATGTTGTACCCTTTAACAAAGAATATTTAGCCATAGCAGCCAGAACTGGAAAAAGTTTTGATGAAGAAATAGGAAATATATATTTTAGAAAATTACCCGGAGAACTAGGAAGAGAAATAGAAAATAAATGGTCAATTTATTATGCAAACTTACCAGCCCAAATAGCCTCAGGAGAAGTAAAAATAAAAGGAACCTTAGGAATAGGACCTAGGATAGTTTTTACATTCCATAGACTTAAAGAAAAATGTATAGCAGTTAAAATACAGAAAGATTTGAAAAAATAAAATTATGGTTTTTGTAGCAATATAATATATACTCCTCAGCAATATGAAGATAAATATAATAAGAAAAAATACAAAAATTATGGAAAAAATAAAAAAGAAAAATATTGGAAGAAAAAATATAGAAAACCACGGAAAAAACAGAAATTTATTAGAAAAAGTAGAACTTTTAATAGAATAAATTATAAGCAACTACCTAAAGAAGAAAAAGATAAAAGAAAACAAAGATATGTTAGAAAACCCAACAGTAAAAAATGTAATTGTTTTATATGTGGAGAACCCAATCATTTTGCAAAAAACTGCCCAAAAAGACAAAGGCCCAATACTAATAAACAGATAGAAAGACTACATATTATAAAAGACTTAGAAGAAGATATAGTTAGCATAAATAGCGATGATTCAGAAGTCTATAGCATAGTCAGTGATTATGAATATCAAATAGAAGCCATAAGTTCAGATAGCAATTCAAAAAGTGATACCGATGTAGATAATCTTTTAGGACAACTTAACCAAGAAATAGGAACAACTCCTTCTCATGATATTTTCTTTATGATGGAATGCAATGCAGATACTGAATGTCAGCATAATTTTCAAATAGGACTAGGATTTGATACCACTAGATGCAGCTATTGTAATTGGTTTCCAGCTAAAGATAAGAGAGCTCAGTGTTTATTATGCAGCATAACCTATTATATAGTATGTCTCGAAAAATTAAACATGACACAAAAGATAACATTAGAAAATAACAGAGAGGATCGTAGTATAGAAAGTAGAGAATTACATCTAACAATTAGAGAATTAGAAGTACAAGTAAGAGAACTTAAACTTCAAATACATGAGATAGAAACTAAAACTAGTTTTGACATAGAATATTTAGAACTAGAAAATAGACAGTTTAAACAACAGCTAGAACAATGTCACAATAAGTACCCTTTAAAAGACAAACTTGTTGAAGAACATATGAATTCGTTAGAATTAGTCAACCTAGTTGATTCTCAACCCTTTAGTCAATACTCTCAAGCAAAGTCAGATAATACATATTTACCATTTAATTACCCTGTTATACCCAAACCAAACTTAGTTGAAATCGCTTGTGTCATTAAATTTGTAGAAAAAACCCTTAGTATAGATGCCATGATAGATACAGGAGCTAGTAAATCATATATTGAACAACACGTAGTTCCACTAGGATGGAGCACAGCTTTAACAACCCCAGCTTTAGTCAACATAGCCGATGGCACTAAACAGACATAAACAGAGCACAAACAGAGCAAAAGGGAGATTTTTCCAGGGGTTTGTTTGTACTGTACCCCTCCTTATCATCTCAAAATCTCAAAGGAGTGACACACTTGCATCCAAAACCGCCAATCAAGCAATTTCATTGCATGATGGCCAAAGATCCAAGTTGAACAATTTCGATAAATGCACAAATAAGACTAAAAAGACCATCACCCTATCATGCATGATCAAGGGCAATGGAGACCAAGGAAAATGGCACATATCATCACTTTTGAGTATGAAATGCCCCATTTTCCTTGTGTTCAAACTAACGTCCAGTTAGGGATGGCAATTTAAACCTGGCCTGACGGGGACCCGATCCCCTGACCCCGATTTGAGCGATTTTGCCCCGAAAAATACCCTTAACGGGGCGGGAATGGTATTCAAAAATTAATCCCCGATCAGTTTCGGGCCGGGGACAGGGATAACTGTCTCAGCCCCGTTCCCATTTCCCCGATATAAAATTACTATTATACCCCTATATATATATATATAAATCAAACCCTAAAACACACACAACTCTCACACGGTGTGAGTCACACCGCCTCTCTCTCTCTCTCTCTCTCACTCTCTCTCTCTCTTTTACTCTCTCTCCCCGTCAATCTCCCTCCTCTCCCTACCGATCTCTCACCGATCTCCCTCCTTCTCTCTCTCTCCCGGCCGATCTTCCTTCTCTACCTGCCGATTTCTCGCCGATCTCCCGCCTCCTCTTCCTCAGTTCGACCACCGATCGAGACCCCCCCTCCTCTCCAAACTTTGCCGCAACCATAGCCCTAAGAGGCTGGCCACAACGACTCTATTGGGGCTGATGAGGAAGAGATGATTCGGCTGCCATTTTTGACAACTCTTGTGCTTGTTCTTGACCCCTCTCTCTCTCTGTATGAATGTTTTAGATTTTTTATTTTTTATTTTTTACATCTGAGCTCCGATCTGTTCAATTTGTTGAATATATATGTTAAATTTGATGTATGGGTGTGTTGTTGTTGATGATGATGAACAAATATGCTCAGATGATCTGTTTTTGAATATCTGTTGTTGAATCTGAGTAAGATGTGTTGTTGAATATATATATATATATATATTTTTTTTTTGACTGGGGAATCTTCGGGATTGGGGAAACTCGATCCCCGTTAGGGGTGAGGGGTGGGGGCGGTAATAGGCTCCCCGTCGGGGATCGGGGCTGGGGACGGGGAATGTGATTCCCGGCCCCGCCCCGGCCCGTTGCCATTCCTACCCCAAACTTGGGGTTCTAACAGCAACCTAGTGTGCCTCTTTATAAGAGTTCATCTTGAATATTTTTCGATAATATAAATCGTTGATATTGAAGGGTTTGTTAAGAATATTATTTATATAAAAAATTAAATTAATTAGATATTTATAATTTCACAATTAAGTCTTAATTATTTTTAAAAATTTATTAAAATTATGTTAACCGTTAATTTTTATCAAAATAAATGTGCTTTGGTTATAAAGCGGCAGATATTCAATCAACTTGATTTTATACATGGATAATTTACTTAACAAATCTTATAATATGAATAATTTAAATTACTAAAAGAGATACAGGACGATACTTCACAAAAAAAAATACAGTAGCCTGCCGTACCCAAATGCAGAGCAGGATCCCACATTCCCCCCCCCAACAACACATAGACATTGGCCGTAGAGCACCTTTTTAAGCCAATCCAATCCAATAATAGAGGTTAAATGTTTGGGTGACACTGCAGGAAATTTAAGTTTTCGCGGCGTTTTAAAAACGTCGCTAAAAGCTTAAAAAACGCCATAAAAAGTCAAATCGACGTTTAAAATTTTTGCCGCTAATACGGCCGCCGCAATAGCTTTACGACGTTTTAAAAACGTCGCTAAAAATATAAGACGGCATTTTTTAAAACGTCGCTAAATCTTTGACATCAACTTCCACTTCCGTCACAAATTAACGTGTGACGTCATGATGATGTCATTTAGTGGCGTTTTTGAAAAAACGCCACCTTTTTTTTTAATTATTATTATTATTATTATTATTATATACATAGCATAAGCCAAAGAATTTAACTAAAGAAGGTGGCTTGAAAATTGAACTACGAACACAAATGGCTCAAATTCACATATCACCATGCATCAAGCTAATCAGAATTTTTATACATCCAATATATTGTAATCAACCCATCATAAAACATTATACAAAGTTAGGGAAAAATACATTAAAGTATTCAACTCATCTATGAACCAAATTAATTGCACATTTCATGAGATTTTTACTACACAAAATCTATGTACTCTTCAATCCACACAAAATATACTCTTCAATCCACATGTTTGTTGGCGTCAAACTTCTCGCAGAGCTCATATGCCTGAAACAATCAACCATCATTGACTAAATTAGACATGGAATATATCCAAAAAAAACACTGTTAGGGCTAATGAAATCAGAGAGAAACAATGAACTGGAAGAAAAAGACACGAAAGAGCAAAGATACCAAAACTAAATATATGAATGAGCTTCTCTTTGTGTGTGTTCATCCCAACAAGAACAGTTGAATCGGAATTGACATCATCAACCGTAGCTTCAATTGCTGGCTTTGCTGATTGTCTAATAACAGAATTGAAGGTGTACAGAGCTCCAATATTTACTACATTTGGCTTTCAGGAAGAAACACTAGCATTTCCAGTCCTAGCCATGACTTTCATGGGCACCCACAGACAAAATAACACCACCATCAATGTTCTCCTAATGAATATACCAATCTCCATTTCTATGCAAGCCAGCAATTGCCTAAATTGATTATTCAGCAATTTCAGGTTAGCATTGTTTCATGAAAGTTTGAAAAAATCAAACACCTGTTAACAGATGCAACAAGCAAGTGAAGCTTACAATACAAAGCTTGAAGATATAGGATCAAGATTACCAAACAAAGTGGGTCCCAAAACTCTCAGAACCCACGTTCTCAAAAAAAAAAAAAAAATGTGATATCAAAATAAAATATATTGTGTGAGCTCAATTGTAGCCTTCTGACTAAATGTCCAAACAGTACGATCAACTGCATTGCTGGGAGCTGATGTTAAGTCCTGAGAAAGAGAGAGAGAGAGAGAGAGAGAGAGAGAGATGTCAAGTTAATTGTTTTTAAGTGAATTCACTACAAATCACCAAAAGGAGGAGCCCATGTACGTGTACTAGTTAAAAAGACAAAAGGTGTACCATCCTAGAAAGAGCTAATATCCCAAGTTATCAACAATGTCCCTAATGCTGTGGATCAATTACACAGTTGTCTTCCACTCCATCCAAGTGTTCATCCCTCTTTGTAGAGGGGCAGAGCACCAATCAACTATCTCCTCCTTGTAACAAGGTTTAAAAAGAACATCAACGAACATATGGCAGAAACAGAAAAAAAAAATTAGAATCTCATGGTTTTAGAAGATAGAAATAGAAAGAAAAAAAAAATATTACAAAAGTAATGCAGAAGACTTTACCTCATAGCCCATAAAATACAAGCTAAATTTCATTTCTGGAAAATCCAACCTCTTAAGTAACCTGTAATATGCAACGAAGAAATTCATATCAAAATTCAATTTCATAGACTGTAGATTTACTCCTAACTTTCCTTTGTTATGAGCAATAAGAAACTATTATAAAAGAAAATGGATACAAGGCAACTAAAAGAATTCCTTGGCGCCCTCCAAATTTTTAAATATACTTCTCTAAGGTTCTTGTGATTGATAACGAACTTAGAAGTGCCTTTGCAGGATGCTTGTGCAACCTTACCTTAGAGCATCTCCAATGGATGGCTATATCAGCTGCCAAAGCCATAATATAGCAGCTTGGACAATCGTGGCTTCTCCAATGGCATGCTATACCAGCCGCCAAATTTGGCAACTGCCAAATCAAGTGCCAAACTTGGCAACTACTTTGGCAGCTGCCAAATCTGCCAAGTCACCCAAAATTAACTGTTTTCTCTCTTCCTTCCTTCCCTCCTTCCCTTTCGGTTGGGATTTTCTAGATTTATCAATATTCATGAATGAACAAGAATGAACAAATTCATCAATATTCACTAATTTTATTCATCAATATTCATCAATATTCATCAAATTCATCAATATTCAACAAGAATGAACAAGAATTCATCAATATTCCAGAATTCATCAATATTCATCAAATTCATCAAATTCATACCAAAAACAAATTTAAAAAGATTTCATCAAATTCATCTTCATTTGTTAAAATATATACGAATTTTTATATGAATTTTTTGTGCTATCTGGGAATATTTTTTTTGCTACGAATTCATCAATTTTTTATACGAATTCATGAATTTTTTTTATACGAATTCATCAATTTTTTTTGCTACGAATTTCATCAAATTCATCAAAATATTTTTTTTGCTGCAAATTTGCAGGAGATCGGGGCTGAAAATAATCCAAGAGCAGCGTAGAAGGAGGGTTGAAGGAGCAAGATTAATGAGAGGTAATCTCAAATAATCCAAGAAAAATACCTGATCCGAGGGTTGAAGTTCACTGATCTGAAAAAAATCTTCACTGATCCGAGGGTTGAAAAGGGTTGGAAGTTCATCTTCATTGATCTAAAGCTGATCCGAAGTTCATTCGAAGGTCTCTCCCTCTGATCTTCACTCATCCGAAGCTCTAATCTTCCCTCTGACCTTCCCTCTTCCCTCTGATCTTCACTCATCTGAAGCTCTCTTTCTCTCTCTCTCTCTCTCAAGTTTCGAAGCTCTCTGTCTCTCTCAAGAGTGGATCTGGAAATTTCCTAAAGTTGATTGAACTTGGGTTTACTTTATTCATGAGTGGATTACTTTATTCATTAAAAAAATAAAAATTAAATAAAAGCATAATTGAAACATATATCTACAACGGCTATAAAAAAAAAGGATTAACACAAACCGGCTATAAAAATAAAACGGCTCTTTTTTATGTTAAAATGGCTCTTTTTTTTTCTATAAATACAAACATTTTGTGCTCTCTTTTTACTCAATTTCATTTCACAACAAATTTTCTAAATTACATTTTTATTTTTATTTATATTTTCTTTACACAATCGGTATGGAAGGTTCATCAAAAATAAAGAGAGGAAAATAATTCACCATTACTGAAGATATGGCACTTTGTAAAGCTTGGTGTCACATTTCTGAAGATCCAATTGTTGGTAATTCACAATCTTATATTCACTTTTGGGGGAGAGTTTATGAAAATTATTGCTCCCTTCAGAATGATCAGTAAAGAACACAAGTTTCTATCCAATCTCGATGGGGTACAATCATGAAATGTTCTAACAAATTTCGTGGATGTTTAGCGCAAGTCGAAAATCTACACCCAAGTGGGATGTCTCAAGTTGATTTAGTAAGATTTCATCTTCATTTATTACGTTAGTTTTTATTTTATTTTATTTCGTCTCATAAAAAAATTAAATAATTACTTAATTCAAAATTGATACATATTTTATTTTATCTAGTAAGATCTCATATTTTATTTTATTTTATTGATACTTACTTAATTCAATATTGATACAGATGTTTCAAGCAAAACTTTTATACCATCAAGATGAAAAGAAACATTTTGCTTTTGAACATTGTTGGTCAATCTTGCAAAACAATATCAGGTGGCAAGATGTAACTCCTATGAATACGGTGAAGTTAAGGATACATACACCATTTTTCCCTGATTCAGCCCCCGATTCCCCTATGGATAATTGCATTTCTTTTGAAGATGACACTAGTCCAAGTGTTGGTAACAATCCAACTGTTGGTGAGGGTAGTGTCTCTGCAAGGGGTAAAAGGCCGATGGGTAGGAAATCTGCAAAAGAATTATTTCGAAAAAATCAAATCGTTCAAGCTGAAGTTCAAAATATGAGCACACAATTGGACACATTTAACCAATACCTTGCTGAGAAGGAAAAGAAAAAAAGATGAAAGAGAAGAAAAAAGATGAAAGAGAAGAAAAAAGGATTCAAGCAATGCAGGAGATAAAAGAACTTGAGATGAAAAAACATGACTTCGAGATCAGAAGACAAGAACATGAGATAAGAAAGGAAGAACACCAAATAATGACTGCGGACATTTCTCATTTGGACCCTCAGATGAAAGCGTATTACACAATGCGAAAAAATGAGATTTTCGCCAAGTGGTCCTCAAATGTGAGCAGCCCAAATTTTTATTTCCCCTACCTCCTGATGAATAATTACGGGATAAATGTTAGTCTTTATTTTTTGCAATATCATTTATTTTTTGATGTAATTGTTAGTCTTTTTTGCAATATCATTTATTTCATGTTGTTTTAAGAAACATTTTTGAGTATTTTGTACTTCACAATGTAAAAAAAGACATTAACTGACATTAAAAGACATTGTAAAATAAAAAGACATTAAATGAAGAACATTTTATTGGAATAAAAAGATATTAAAAGACATTTTTTATTTTTTATGTGTAGTTAAAAAAATTTATTAAATATGTAGTGATATGTTTTTTGGTGGGGTGAATTAATCAAACAATTTTTTTTTTCCAATTTTTCATTTTTTTTTATTTTTTATATTTGTCTAGTTGGGAATAATATAAATATATAATTTTTTTTTAACAAACAAATAAAAAAATGTCACAAAAGACAAAAAATAAATAAAAATAAAATTACAAAAAATCTATATCCAAACAACACCTACAAAATTGGAGGGAAAGTTGGTTGAGATTTGTCAAAAAATAGCAAATGACCATTGGAGCACTATTGCTATAATTTGGCAAAATAACACTATTCATTGCCAAATTATAGCAATAGCAACCCCAATATAGCAACAACCATTGGAGATGCTCTTAGGGGTTAATTCATGCCTGCTTTGAGCGAAAACCTTGCAGCCAAATAGGTCTTCAAATCTGGAACTGCCTCAATGGCCTTTATCAAAGCCCAAAATCAGCTACTAGCTTTAACCAAGTATAATATGCACCCGATTGTATAAGAGCCCAAGCAATTATACATGACAACTAACTATAGCTTCATCTTCTTTTCTTTTTCCATTTTTTTTTAATAACATTCATATACTCTAAAAAGGCCAGGAAAAAATGAATGAATCTGTGTCAAAGATTATGGCTTACCCCATCATGAAGGTATTCTAATGCCCTTGCTACATCTACAGCTATTTGAATCCTCAAATCCCAACTCAATGGTTCAAGCTTTTCATCTGAACATCCAAATACTGGATATAAAAAAATATATATATACAAAAAGAATATATGACAGAACACTGAAAATGCACACAGATTCTATCTTCTCTCAGTGGGCTGTTACATTGCTGGTTTGATTTTAGTATATCATATGGCTAAACATGCTATGTTCTTTCAGATAACATATATAAATCTACTGATGATTAATTAACTCATTTCCAATGACTAGTCAGTCATTCAAGAAGCAAAGTTTTTGAACTGGATTTAAACTCAAACCAGAAAGTATGTCAGTCCACAGATACACTGGGAAAATAAACAGACAACTGGGAGAAAGAGCATAGCAATGGTATAAAAACTCTTGCAAAAAAAAAAAAGGTAAACTAATACAGGGGAACATGAGAGCCTACAGACATCACCAACCATGAACTACCATTTTTCAGATAAACTAACACGAAAAACTAATACAAATTTACAACTTTGTTCTAGAGGTCTGTTCCTTTAACCTAAAAAATGCAAATAAACATAATCACACAGGTCATGACGAACTTTTTCAAGGGAAGTCAAAGCACATCCAATGCTGTTGCAGATGAAGTTGTAAATGATTCCAAAAGCTAGCAATGCAACAGGTTGAATAAAACCACAATAACATGCCCAACCGCCACATTCCTTTATACTAGTACAAAGTATTCTTCATTATTATGGTATGCCCTTTTTCCTGTAGTGACAACCTAATTAAAATGCATGTAAAACACCCATAACTATATGAATCCCAGAGAAATATAAGACACAAACCCAACAAGATCATCCAAATGAAAACATCCATATGGGCCCTACCAATGGACCATTGTCTCACCATTGGTATCACATTATAGAATAGCATGATCATCACAAATTATATAAACTTGTTTTTTCTTTTTTTTAAACTAAAGAATGAAAAAATTACAGAATTAATCAGCAGATTTGACAATGAGAAAGTAGAGAATAAAAAAGGTACCTGAGATAAGAGCAAGAGAGATCAGCTAAAACAGATCGATTTTGGATTTTGAATTTTGAATTTTGGATCTGCGATTTGATGAAGAACAAATCGATTTTGATGAAGAACAGAAACACAGACACTAGCAGTCTGAACAAGTTAAAAACCAAAATAATTTTTTTTTAAAAAAAAACTACAAACACAAACACTCTAAATAACAAAATCAAAGATGATAATCCAATATTGTTTAGTTTTTTTGTGTGTGTGGAAATGAAGTTAGTGCATATAAATGTGTGTATATATAGGTAAGTAGATAACATAGATAGATTCAAATAGAGAAGTAGGTGAAGGTGAATTGAGATGAATTAGACGAAGAGAAATAGAGAAGCGAACTAGTGATGAGGACATGAGATCTGCAGTGCTTGCAGTAATAGACAAAGAGATCGGAGTCTGGACCGTCTGGTGCCCGTCCTCACTCAAGTAGCTTCGAGATCGATGAAGAACAGAGATCGTTGCAATTGATGAAGAACAGCTAGAGCAAACTGCTGCGATTGAGTTCTATGTGTTTGAGCTTTAAATTGAGAGTTGTTGAGCTTCGATCAACATTGATAAAGAACATACAATGCAAAATCTCAATTGATCGAGCGAGCAAGAGAGAGAGTCTGTGTGTTTGAGCTTCAAATCGAGGGTTTTGGAAGAGAGAGAGAGAGTGTGTTTGAGCTTCAAATCGGGGTTGTGGAAGAGGCAGAGAAAATGAGAGACGGAGTCCAGGATGGTGTTAATAAATTGACCCAACACGACATCGTTTAGCGGAGATCAAAGACAACGTTTTTAAAACGCTGTGTTTAATGAATCTATAATGGCGTTTCCATAAACGCCACAAAACAAACGTTGCAATATGCCCTTTTTTTAGTAGTGTGATTTCAACTGTGCTTCAATTTTTGTTACAAATCCATATAAATTAACCATCCCCAAAAATATTTATAGTTCAAAATCTAAATACAACACGTCTCTTGAAGTTAATATTAGGATTATGTTTGAATCTCAAATTTGGTGAGACAAAAACAGAAAAAAGAAAAAGAGATTTAAAATGCCTTTACAAGTTTGGTTGCTAAAAAAAAAAAATTGTGACCTTAAAACTAATATGTTAGTGGTTGTACTAGTAGGTCATGTTTGTTTGGCTCTATATGTGGGAGATTAGACTATCAATTCTGTGGGTTTTACATAACCCATGTTTGGTTGACAAAAGTAGAAGAGAGACTAATAGTCCCATAGGACTATGACTACTATCATATAGGGGGATTAACTTGGCTGAATTTTGGGTAAGATTGGGAAAATAGTGACGGAATTAAGTCTATTTTATATATAAAAAAAAATTAATTTTTTTTTAACCAAGTGCACATGTTTGTTTTAATATTTGTTCTAATTTTTTTAATATAGAAATAATTTATTTATTTATTTTATATAAAAATAATTTAACAATCTCATCACTAATCCTCTCTCATACTATCATTAAAACAAAAATACTTTCACTTATATCCCTCACTAACAATCCCTATATTAACAATCTCTGCACTAATAATTCTATCCAACCTAATCTGCCAAACAAACGTGGCCGTAGTGATGTCTAATATGGTGGTAGGATAGTGGAGGTGGAGCTGGTGAGGTGATGGCAGCGGTAGTGATAAAATGGAAGATTTTGATTCAAAAATTCAAAATTAAAAATACTTTTCACCCAAATAATTATTTTTTTCATAAAAAATATTTATCATTAATCTTTCTTTTTCATCATACTAAATGTAAGAAAATGAAAAAGTGTAACCAAGGAAGGCTTTAATAGTAAAACACTTCGCCATACTATTATGATAGATTTTAGTATCATTAATTTTTTATAAAATGAAGTGTAGAAAAATAGAGAGAGAAATAATTTTTTTTAGAGTTATTTACCTAAAATTTCTATTTATAAATGTTATTATAGCTCAAGTCATATCTAAAATTTTTTGAACTAATAAGTCCTATTTGATAAAACTGAGAATACTATTAGTTTTTTCTAATTTTTAAAATTAAAAATATTATCAATATTGTATAGTAATATTTTAGATAATTGTTTCACTAACTGATGAAAAAAATAGAGTATAAAATTACACGTTTTTGCCTTTCTACTTATTGGTTTGATTCAATTATCTTATAAAATCGAAAACATTATCAGTTTTTTTTAGTTTTAAAACTGAGAACACTATTCAAGTAACTATAATTAGTTAAATTAATAACAAAAATTTAAAAATCAATCAGACACACGAGGTGAGATTCACTGTTAGAGAGTTGTGAAGTTCGTATATCACTTAATTAAAATCTATCATATTAAAAACTGGAAAAGTAAAATTTTAAATCTCAATCAAAATTAATCAAATCAAATATATAATGTAATGGTTTCAAATTGTGAAAAAATAAAATTTTAGATCTCAATCAAAATAAATCAAATCAAATATAATATAATGGTTTCAAATCACTTGAATAATTTTTTTATTCCTTTTGATTAGGCGAGGAAACAATCTCCATAAACACAAGTCACTAGTTTTGGTAGGAAATGCACGAAATTATAAGTTGATGACTCATATGCGCAAAGTACATAATAATAAATAAGGAAAATTACACATCAGGTTACTTTTAAAAAAATTAAATTAAATTAATGAAAATTTTTATACATATTAATAATTAAATTTATAATTTTTTTTATTAATTTGTAAATATTTCATAAAAACTCCATCTGTGTGTAAATTTTCCTAATAATAATACTATATAATTCAATAAATTTTATAAATTATCGTATTCATATGATTTGTATCAACCATATTATTTAAATAAATACTCTTTACTTATTAGTTTATATAGTATTTGGAAGAAGAAAAAAAAAGCGAAGAGGTCATAATAAATGCTTGGATCAACTTGAAGATTTATTTAACAGTTATGCTACGTAGCTTGAATTTGGCCCAAAATCAAAACGACGTTGTTTCGTCGTTTTGATTTTTTTTTTCTTTTCAATAACTGGCAAAATCAAAAAAGAAGAACAAAGAAGAAGAAGAAGAAGAAGAAGAAGAAGAAGTGAAGAGGAGAGTAGCAGAGAGAGAGAGAGAGCGAATCATCATCATCAACCACCCAACAAGCCATTCATCTTCAGATCTTCATCAACATCATTATCAACAACCATTCATCTTCAGATCCAGGAAAAAAGAAAAAATAAAAAAAAAATCAACCATTCATCTTCATCATCAACAACATCGTCATCAACATCGCCATCATCATCATCAACACATCATCATCAACCAACAGTTTTATTATTATTTTTTTTTCCCTTTATTTTCAGATCCAGATCCACTAAAAAAAAAAAAAAAATCGGGCTACAACGATTGGCGGCGGCGATCAACCCCCCCTCTCTCTCTCCATTCTCTTTTTCCCTCTCTTCTCTTTCTCTCTTTCTCTCTTTCTCTTCCTCTTCTCTCTTCTCTCTGCTCTCTCTGTTTCAGAAGACATACGGAGGGAAAAAAAAAAATTCCTAAAACGACGTCGTTTTGGGCAGTCTGAGAATTCGAAGAAGAAATTTTCGACCTACGAAATTAATCAGGGTTGGTTTGGGAAGTAGGTTGACTTTTTGACTTTTTGGTTTTTTTGACTATTTTAGCCTGGGCTAAAAAACTTGGTTTGGGAAGAATTTTTTAATTTTTTGATTTTTTAAATTTTTTTATGAGAGAAGAATGTAATAATTATGAATTAAATGTAATATTTTATCTTTTGTGACTAAAATAATTAAAAAAATCTCATATTCTTTTTTCCAAATGGTGCCTCATTAATTTTAAAGTTCAAAATTAATTGGATGTCTTCAAACTGATCCAATCGCTTGGTAGGATGGCAACACTTTTTTTTTGGGTAAGTAATGGCAACACTTTTGACCTTTACTTAAACCAACTTGATGTGACCTTGGGTGCCTCAGACTTGGGGTGATGCTGTGCTCTTTTGTCGGTGTTCATTTTAAATGTATTTTGATAATTTGAATTGTTTATATTATGAAATTTTTTAAGAATATTATTTATATAAAAAATTTAATTAATTGAATATTCATAATCTCATGATTAGGTCTTAATTATTTTTTAAAAATTATAAAAATTATGTTAACCGTAATATTTATAAAAACAAATTTGTTTTGGTTATAGGGCCGTAGAAATCTAATCAACTTGATTTTTTGTACGAATGATCTACTTAATGAACCTTGCAATATGATGGTTCAAATTATCAAAAGAAACTAAGAACGATACTCTACAAGAGAAAACGACAACCTGCTGTGTCGCAAAATCCCCAGATCCAACGCCCCACAAGACATTGACCTTAGAGCACCTTTTTAACTTGATCCAATGTTTGGGTTATTTAAACTTTCCTTGAATTATTGTTACAAATCCATATAAATTAAGGACCGTGCTAGGGAGCTCGAAAACGAGCTCCCCCGAATCCCCCTAATTTCTATTTTTTTTTCAGAAGCAGAGAAAGAGAAGAGAAGGAAGGAAGAGGAGGAGGAGGAGGAGGAGTGGACTGGAGGGGGCCATAACAGTGGGAGGAGGCGGAGGCGGGCCGGAGGCGACGGCGGAGTTGCTGCTGCGACGATCGGACCTGGGCGATAGGCTGGGCGACGGCGGCGACGGGCTGGGCGACGATCTCTTCCCCTCTTCTTCTCTCTTTCTCTTTCTCTCCCTCTCCCTCTTCTGCGTTGCAGGTCGGAAAAAAAAAAAATGGCCAAAACGACATCGTTTTGGCCATTAGGGGGATTCGGGGGGAAGAATTTCGGGGGACAAATCATTTTCCATAAATTAACCATCCCCAAAAATATTTATAGTTCAAAATCTAAATACAACATGTCTCTTGAAGTTAATATTAGGATTATGCTCCAATCTCAAATTTGGTGAGAAAAAAAGAAAAGAAAAAGGGATTTAAAATGCCTTTACAAGTTTGGTTGCTAAAAAAAATAATTTACAAATTTGGTTGCTAAAAAAAATAATTGTGACCTTAAAACTAATATATTAGTGGTTGTACTGGTAGTGATGTCTAGTATAGTGGTAGGACAGTGAAGGTGGAGCTGGTGAGGTGATCGTCGTGGTAGTGATCAAATGAAAGATTTTAATTCAAAAAACTTTTTCATCTTTCGAAATTAAAAATACTTTTTACCCAAATATTTTTTTTTTTCACAAAAAATATTTACCATTAATTTTTCTTTTTCATCATACTAAATGTGAGAAAATGAAAGTGTAACCAAGGAAGGCTTTAATAGTAAAACACTTCACCATACCATTATGATAGATTTTAGTATCATTAAATTTTTATAAAAAGAATTGTAGAAAAATAGAGAGAATAATTAATTTTTTTAGAGTTATTTACTTAAAAGTCCTATTTATAAATGTGATCATACCTCAGGTCCTATTTAAAATTTTTTGAACTAATAAGTCTTATTTGGTAAAATTGAGAATATTATCAGTTTTTTCTAATTTTTAAAATTAAAAATATTATTAATTTTGTATAATAATGTTTCGGATAATTGTTTCACTAATTGATTAAAAAAATAGAGCATCAGATTACACGTTTTTGCCTTTTTACTTATTAGTTTGATTCAATTAAAAAATGAATTTGTGTAATGAATGAGATTTTTATCGGTTCAAAAAGCAAAACAATCAAAATAACTCACATTATATTGAAAAGAGAATTGTTGAATTTATTATAGCCTTCTTTTTTGTCCGCGAGATTGATGATTGTGGCTTAAAAACGAGT